TGTCTCCTCATCTTTTCTGGGGGCAGGTACAGGGGTGGCAGAACTAAAGGGCTCCCACTCCCCAGGTGGACCTGGCCTAGCCGGGAAGGCTGCCCAGCAAGATCCTAGGCAAAAACTGGCCTCAGAATCCACCAGCTGTATTTATCTGTATTTATCGAAGTTTTGGATAGCAAAGGCTGGGTCCTCAGACACACAAGACACTGTCTTCTGAAATTGCAGAGCCTCCCACATGTTGTACACACTTGATGGAGTCATCCTTCCCTGCCATCTGAAAAGCTGTGGCCATCTCGGTGGCGAGTAGCTGAGACAGCCCTTTCCCACATGGTTAGCAGTTCTTGATTTCTGAAATGGAAAGGAACAACATTGTGTTGGTCACTTGGCTCTGAATCCCAGGCCAGGGGTCCTGTCGCTGCCCCTAGAAACTTTCTCCTAATGTCTCCTCTCCAGACCACAGAATAAGGGAGGACTTTCCGTGGCTGACCAAACCAGATAACCACTTTTTTTTTTTTTTTAAACTCATTCATTCATTCTTTCTTTGCACAGTTGTATGCCAGGGACCCAGCACCTACCAGTGAGGAGATACTGGGGCAGGCCAAAGGGCAGGCAGACTGATAAGGAAGTCAGACTGAGAAAACGCTGACCTGGACCAAAGGGGCCGCAGGAAGAAGAGCGAGGTGGGGAGGTGGGCCCCACGTGGCATGTCCACCAGGACTCCAGACCATGCTCATATTTAACCAGACCAGCTCCTCGAGGGGACAAAATCTCCAGAGACAGCAAGCCATGTCCAGCAGGTCCGGGTATGTCGTTTTGTCCTGTTCTGAGGACCACGTGGCTTCCCAGTGACCCTGCGCACGGTGGTCTCCACAGCCTGCTCTGGCTCTTCTGGGACAGGAGGCTTTGTGATCCTGAGGGAGTAAACCCCTCCAAGTCCAGTCTGCCACTAACACAAACCACGTGTGGCCCTCCACGCCAGCTTCCACACTGTTTTCCTTGGACAGCGTGTCTCCTTTCTCTCCGCCACAAGCTGATGTGTTGAAAACTGCTGATGGAGTGTTCTCTCTTCCCCCTTGGAGGCCTGCAGTATGGCCACTTGACGTGGCTCCCTCTCCCTTCCCATCCCCCAGACTGACTCACTTTCCTCCTCGGTTTCCAGTCCTCCTCACCTCGAGCACCACTTCCTTTTATTATCTGGGGGGCAGGGCATGGATTTTCTAGTTTCCCAGGAGAGCAGTCTACACTGGGCCTCAGCCTGGCATGCCTCTGCTCCTGTTGCTGCAGACTGCCTGGGTCTGGGGGTTCCCATGGAGTGTCTGGAATGTGGCCTGTGGGTGCTAAGTACAACAGCTCTCTGGATAGAAGCAGTTTGTGGCCTATGAGCCTGGACACACTAAGACCAAGAGCAAACTAGCTCACAGGCTCTGATCTCTGCTTGCCCATAGTCCTCTTAGATTGTCATTCCCATTGGCAGGGTGATAAAGCAAACTAAAATTGGATATGGCTAAATGAGGAGGGTGGGTGTTCTAGTCCAGCCCTGCACCATCTGTGATGATGGCACTGGTCATGTGAGGCTATTTAAATTAATAAGAATTAAATGAAATTAAAAGTTTGATTCTCCGGTCTCTAGAGCCATGTTTCAAGCGCTCAGCCTTGGAGCTCCATCCAGGGCTAGTGGCTGCAGTAAGGGCCATACAGACACAGAGCTCTGCCATTACTGCAGAAAGTTCTGTTGGATAGCCAAGCTCTGGCTCCCGAGGGCACTTGGATAGTCTGAGGACTTTGCTAACCTTGAAACACAGCCTTGTGATGGAATGTTATTCAGCCTTAAAAAGAAAGGACATTCTGACCCCTGCTCCAACATGGATGAAACTCGAGGACATGGTACTGAGCGAAATAAGCCAAACACCGAAGGACGGACGTTGCGCGATTCCGTGACATGCAGCACCAAGAACAGGGAGATCTGTACAGATGGAAAGGGCAGTGGTGGTTCCCAGGGGCTTGGGGTGGAGAATAAGGAGTTCGTATTTAATGGGGACAGTTTCAGTTTTGGATGATGAGGTTCTGGAGATGGATGGTGGTGATGGTTGCACAGCATGTGAATGTGCTTAATGCCACTCGTTGTGTGGTCAGAAGCGTCAATATGGTAAAGCAGTCTGCGGTCCTCCTTCCCCAGATGCTGACTTGGGCTCCCTGGGCCAGGAGGCTGGCCCCTGACATGGCAGCAGGCCCGAGGAAGCATCAGAATGTAATTCCGGGACTGTCTGGTCCCCAGGGTACAATCTGTGCTTAGACTTCACAGCATGAAACCCAGATCTACCGCCTCAAATTAATAAATGACATTTGTGGGGGTGGGACACTTCAGCTCTTTGGGCCACGCTCGTCCGGGTAAAAGCAAGTCAGAACAAAGGACGAGAGAGTAACTTCCTAAAGGGTGCTGTCGGAGACCACAGGCAGCGCTGGGGAGGCCTGTTCCTCTTGCCTCCTTCTGACAGGCACAGAAGGAAGCCAGGAAGGGGAAAGGGTGGATGGATTACTGGCGCATGCCATTCTTTTCTCCAGAGTTACCTTTATCGGTGTTCCAGCATCGTCCTGACAAATAAAACTGAGAAGGACCAAAAAAGACAGCGTTAGGCAAAACCTATCATCTCTGAAAGACTCTGTAGCTGAGACCGATAGATCACCCCACTTTTCTAAAGAAAGCATGCTGTTCACCTGTGCACAAAATACTCAACTTACTTCATTTCGGGCTGATTTTTCACACTTGCGTGACACTCCAAAACCACCCTTCAGAGTGATCTTAGGGAAAGAGAGTGGGATTTCAATTAAGGTACCTGAACTAGCCAGACCGCCACTCAGCTGGGCAATGTTAGGCAGCTGTCCATCTCTGCTCCCCAGTTTCTCCTCTCTGGGACATGGGGAGCAAACATTTGTATCACAGAGTTACCACGAAGGTCAGATCAAATCATGCGTGGAAAGGTTTACTAACCGTAAACTGCCAAACAGCTGTTAGTCGTGGTGACTAGTTAGTGTTTAATATTAGTGATACGAATAGTATTAACTAGGGCACTTAGCAAACAGGTGAAGCTGTCCCCCACAGTGTTCCACTCGTTGCCTCTGTCAGTTTTTGCTGAGTGTCTACTTTGTGCCGGCATCGGAAAGCTCCTGGATGCAAAGAAAGCATCCTGCCTTTGCCCACGGGCCTGCTATGGGCTCTCCAGTTGCTGAATGATGGTGGACCAAACATGTCCCATGATGTCCCAAACATGTCCCATCGCCACACAGCACAGAGTAGGGCCAACAGGAAACCACAGATCAGACCGTGACCTCTGGGCTGCTCTGCAGGGTGCCGGGCAGGCCAAGGCAGACCGGCCTATGCAGGGGCATCACAGAGGACAGCACCAGTGGGGCAAGGAGCCCCAACTCGCCTCCCAGGCCCACAGAGCGATCCATTATCGTTGTCTCTGCTGTGTCATCAAGGCTGGTGATGTGACGGCAGGGAAGCCACGGGCTTCCACCCCTGGCCGCATCGCCTGCTGGCTGCAAGCCCATGGCAGATTTCTTCCCTCTCTGGGCTCCAGTTTCCTGGCTAATCATGTCCACCTTGAAGGAGTATTCAGAAGATTTAGTGAGAGCATGTGTCTAAAGAATCTGGTCCGTGCCTGGCACGGATAACGTGTTTCTCTTGCCCTTCCAGCCTATCCTCCCCCTCCCTGCGCACAAGCCACGCTGCTTCAGACTTTCTTTCCTTCTAGCAGAGGGGCATCTTGAATGTCTTTCTCCTGGAGGAGAAATGATGAGCGGGCTTGTTACATTCCAGCCATCACATGGGGGGCTTGGGTCCCTTTCCTTCTGCTGGAATTTCGGGCCCAGGTGCCCGTAGGGTGGTTATGCTGCCGTGACAGAGAGCCTCTCTGTACAACAAGGGCCCATCTCTCACTCGGGCTGCATGTCCGTCGGAGCTTGTTGGGGGCTCTGGACCCACGGGGCAGAGAACACACACTGTCACACACACAGAGACACACCACTGTCTGCCATGGCCAGTCACACGGCAGAAAGAAGTGGAGGTAATGAATCACACACCACTCATGACTCTCCTGCTCCAAAGTCACACATATCTCTTCTGCTCACATGTAACTGGCGCCATCCCACCGCCAGGAGGTGGGGAAGTACAGATCTACGTTGTGCTCAGGAAAAGAGCCAGAATTCTGATGACAGCCTCCATCATTGCCACGGCCCTGCTTTAATCCATAAAGTAACACTGCACGTCGGTCTCATTAGGGCCTACTTAGAGATGAGACCCAAGGTCTGTCAATTCCCCAAGACCACAAACAACAGGTCCTTGGGATTTTGTCTATCAAATCAGAGAGGCGTTATCACACTAGTAAAGGTTTCCAGTCTGGGGACTCTGCCCCTGTCCTTTCTCACTTCCACAGCAGCCTACACCTACCTCTGAAGGTGCTTCCTACACCACCCTGTAAGAATCAGTTTCCTTTTCAGTCTCTCTGAACTACGAGTCATTTCATCTCCGAACCCCATGTGCCTAGCACAGAGCGGGGCCCAGATCTATCTTTTGGGCCAACTGCGGAATCTTAGCATGGCAGGGAAGTGTAATCATCTCACAGACCTAGACCTAACCAGCCTGAGTCTCAGTGATTTGTTACCCAACAAAACCTGCAATTCTTAGGAAACAGATTGGAATTCGGGTGGCTCTGGGGGTGTTGTTCCTGTTTCCGGTCCTGTATTTGGAGACCCCCAGGAAAACTGAGAATGGTCTCTCCCAGCTCTGAGCCTTCACTGATAAGGCGGCTGTGGACAGAGAATTGTTTTCACGGAGATCCTTCATCACACTGACATTGCCTTCCCCATTAGTCTGGGTTTCTGAAAAGCTGAACACAGCAAGCCTTTGTATATCAAGTCACGTATTTCACATAATTCCCTTAAAATGTCAGAGATGCATTTATCATATTAAAGGCTTCCATTTTTGCTATTCTCCCCTTGTTTAGATGCAGATGTTGGACAAATTTCCCATGGAAGGAGGACAGAAGGATCCCAAACAGCGGATCATTCCCTTTCTGCCAGGTAGGTGAGACACATGCTGTCAGAAGGACCTCTGGGGGATCCAGGACAACCCCCACATCTCTCAGCTCAGCTTCCTGGGACAGTGTCCTAATGACCAGAGTCCCAGTCATTTGTAGAAAGTAGTGCCTAAGGATATGGGCTGTGGGGTTAGATGCTACACCATCTACTGAGGCAAGATACTTCAGCTCCAGGATCCTCAGTTTTTCTGTCTCTACAGTGGGAATAATTAGAGCTCATAAAGCTTTTGTAGTGTGTGGCATCTTTGTTTGGCTACAGTATGACTTTGCTGTTGCCATGGCGTGAATTCACACCAATTTGGCAACTTAAAACTACCCTCATTTATTACCTCACAGGAAGTCCAGGCAGGTGCTGCTGGGTTCTCTAGTTAGAGTCTCCTAAGGCAGAAGTCATCATCTTGGCCAGGCTGGGCTCTTATCTAGAGGATTAGAGAAGAATCCACTTCCAGCCTCATTCAGGTTGTTGACAGAATTCAATTCCTTGCAGTTATGGAAATAGAATACGGGTTTCCTTACTTGCTCTCAGCCAGGGACCCCTCAGCTTCCAGAAGCTGCCTGCATTCCTTATCCATCTTCTAGCTGGCACTGGGGCATTGAACCTTTCCCATGCTTCGATATCTCTCTGATTTCCCCTTCTGCTGCCACCTGTTGGAGAAGGCTGTTTGCTTTTAAGGACTCATGCATTACGTTATACCTACCTAGCTAATCCAGGATAATTTCCCTCTCTTAAAGTGAACTGTAGCATATGCTCTACAAGAGCCTAGGAGTGAGATCTCATCCTATGCACAGGCTCTGGGGCTCTGGGGCTCTGGGGATAAGGATGGACATCTTTGAGGGCCCATTTTAGAAATTCTGCCTACCTGTCTGCCACAGTGACCAAGCACCTGCTGAGCTCCAGGCACTGTGTAGGAGTTAACACACTCATGGTTGATCCCTGCCCTTAGACATGAAGTGTTCCTTTCCCCCCCCAAAAAAATTCCTTTAGGAATAGTATTAAGTATGTCTACTGTAGGCCAGTCATGGGGCTAAGTGCTTTACATTCATTACCTTGTTTAGGCTTCAGAATAACCCTGTGCCCATTTTGCAGATGAGGAAATTGAGGCTCAGAGAAATGATGATCATTTGCACAAATAGCAGAGCTGGGCTTCAAACACAGCTTTGGCTGGCTCCAAAATCCATGCCTGAAGTCAAATGGCCCCAGTTCAAATGCCAATGCCTCCGCTCATCCACTGTTACCTTTGGTGAATTATTTAAGCACAGAGTTTCATTCTTCATTTACAAATTGGAGATAATAGTGATACTTAAATAATAAAGTTGTTGTGAGGATTAGCTAAGTGCTAAGTAGCACATAACTAGCAGCAATCAAGCACTTATTATTATTTTTATATACAGATAATCAGCAAGTTGACAGTCACCAAAACCACAAATATTTAGAGCTGGAAGGGCCCTTTAGATCTTTTTTATTTTGCAGACAAGGGAGCAGGCCAGAGAGGAGGGAGACTCCCTGGGTCCCTCAGGAGCCCACTCTCCCCTCCCTACTCCAGGGTTCCGCAGTCAGCACATCAAGTGGTTCCTCCAGATATTAGCATCACAGAGTGGACTTAGAGACAGGGTAGATGTGTTTGCCAGGCCTCATCTACTGGGAGAATCATTTGCCTAAAAAAGCTCATGTTTTTAGTTCTTCCACAGAAAAAGTGTGCAATCACACTGGAATTTTTGTCTCCAGTTGGAGAAAACCCAGTGTGCCAACACAGCAGCCAACTCGTAGTGCTCCAGAGCATGGCATTTGAAGTCAAATGGACCTAGTTCTGTGACCTCACACAGATGATAGCCCTCTGCCCCCGAGCCTCAGTTTCTCCATCTGTAAATGGGACAATGACTCCTGCTTTACAAAGCTCTCCCTGGTACATAGTGGGTTCTCTGCAAAAGTCAGAAACAGGAGCGTGGGACGTCCCTTGGGAATTTCTTGGTATTCAGATTTTAGAGTCCTACTTAAATAAATGATCTGTCTGAATATTCGAGTTGAACTGGACTCCAAATGTAGGCTTTTTTCTCCAAGGAAGGAAAGGAAAGCAGTGAGTTATAACTCTTTACTGGATGAAAGGCAACAACCAGCTGTGAAAAAACTTCCCAGGACAGGGAAGAACTTGAGCTGACCCTCTCCCAAGGCCCTGAAAGCTTTCGTCGTTACAGAATCCTTTTTCCACCCACAAATTTATGTAAATGCTGTTCTCAGAGATTCAGCCCCATTTTTTCCTGCTCAGGGCACCCACTTGCTGCTCAGAGAGGTGTGGTCAGGCCCCAGGACCCCAGGAGCGTCCCTTCGTGGCTCACCACTTCACTTTTCCTTGAGGCCAAGGCCAAGGGTAGGGATACACAGGCGGCATGTCCCCTCTCCTAGGGGTCCGTTTTCTGCCAAGACTGCCGCGTCAGCAGAACAAAAGCAAGTCTCTTGTTAGCACAAAGGCAGGGGGAGGGGGGAACAGCCCTGTACAATTTTCCATCCCAGCAAGAGCTGGGGAAGCCAACTTGGCAGAGGATGCGGCTTGAAAAATAAGACTTACAGTTTGGCCTTCCACCACTGTGGAAAACAAAAGCCTGCCCGTTCCCACCAAAGCCTGTGCACTCCACCAAGCACCCTTTCCGCTCCAGGAAGGCTGGAGCTCACCCTCCTTCCCCACAACTCACACAGAAACCCATCAGGCGCAGATAAGGGACCATTGCCCCCATTGGCATTGCACTCAGAGCCCCCGGCCAAGGAGGTACTGGCTGCATGGTTCTACCCAACAGCCTAGGGCCTGAGCTGGCTTCCAGGTCTGCTGCGACAGATGATGAATTAGCCTATCAGAGGCAGGTCTTAAGAAACCAGCCAGGCCGAGGAAAGAACACGGGCCCTTAACTGAGGAGTATGAGGCAGTATCATCTAACCGGTTTCAAAAATTAAGTGATTACTCTTTTTTGAGCACCTAGGAAGGGCCAAGCCCTGTGCTGGGTGAGTCATGGAAGTTACTTCTAACAGATACAGGCTGTTCTCCCATTTTACAGATGAGGAGACCAAGGCTCTGGGAGGTAAATGCATTTCCCAAGGCAGCACAGTCACCCTGGATTGGCTGAGTTCAGCGCCTGTGGCCTCCCCAGCAGGTGCCACCACAAGGCTTCCTGTCCCCCTTGCTGGCAGGGCACCTGCCGTATGCCCAGAGACTCCTCTCCCACTGGGGCCCCGCGGGGAGAAAAGTGGTGCTTTTGTTGTCCTGTCACACCCTCAGGAGACCTTGAAGGTGCGGGAGTTCTCCATCCTTCTCTCTCAGCCCCTGCAGGCTGGGCCTTGAGAAAATTCTCTCCGTCAGTGGTGACTCCAGGACCAGCCTGTGCTGTTCCCACGGGCGGGTGCCTGCATCGTGCCTATTGTGAATTGTTAGAGTTGGGTCACAACCTCCCCAGTAAGAAGCCTGAACACCCCACTCCCCACCCTTCCTCTGATTTAGAGAAGGGGACATTATATCATAATGGGACCAAAATGGTTTTGGTAGGGACTCCTCTCCAGTTCTGAGAAACAGATTAGAGGCAGGAAGCATCTACTGTGGGAGGTTTCTCTTCAGGCAGGCATTCCTTATTTTTCCTAAAGCCTCGGGATTCTCCTCGGGGGTTCTAAACTGCTAACGGTTCCACCCACGAGGGTGGTAATTTGATTATGACAATGACTGGGGGTGGGATAGGGATGGGCCAGGGATGCTAAACATCCTGAAGGGTGGGGGACACTCCCACACAGGGAAGGACTGCCCCACCCAGAACGTCAACAGGGTACCTCCCCGTTGGGAAACACAGACTGTCCGTGCCTAGAGGGCAGGCCCTCTGCCCTGGCCCTTTGAGGGCTCACGAAGAGACTGCACCTATCGACTGAATAAAAGCAGGGACACCAGGTTGTAAACCCTCCCCACTAGGCTGCGTAATTTGCTTTTTTAATGGGAAACAGCATGAACATTTTCTGATTTCAGAAGCAATATATGTTTATGGTAGGAAATTTGGGGCAAGTCAAAGAAGAAAACAAAAAGGCTCTGTCTTCCACCACTTGGAGACAAGCACTTTGAAACCTGTGATGCGTTTTGTTCTAGATTTTTCTTTTCTAGTAAACATGGTGTGTCAGAAATTTGACTGACTCATGAGCAAAATTAAAACAATCACCATAATAAACAAAGGAGACTCCCTGTTATTAAAGAATTTGAGGAATATGCATTTTATCCACTGTGGGTTATTGTTTTCTTTCAAGTGGTAGAAGTTAAGCAGGAAAAAAAAAACTTCAACATTAGGTTGACCATATCTACCTAATTTCCTAATTGTGCCCTTTTGCCCAAGAGCCCGTGGTCAGATTATTTTAAATGTTAGGTTAACCCCTTTGGCTTTTTGGGTGCAAATCTCCCTTACCAGCTTGCATTGCAAATCTTGGAGTCAATAGGCTGTTTCCCATCATCCCTTTCAATTCTGTCTTACACAGACTCCTTTGGACCTTTCCTGCCATTCTGTTCCTGCTCACCCGAGCTCTATCTGTGGACATTGCAGCCCCCCCAGAGCCTTGCAGGAGCACTGGTTGACCTCTCCTTGCCCTGCCAGGCTTGTGACCCGAATTCCTCTCTTTGACCTGCCTCCTCTGAGCAGAAGTAGAGGAAGCTCTTCATAGCTCTCCGTGCTCTGCTATTGGAAAGGTGTGGTCTCCCTGTGCCCTCCTCTTTGACCTCCCCCTGGATACCTCCTGCACTCTGCATAAGCTTGGCAGAGGGGCTTGCCTCCATCCCCCACCTCCTTGCCCCCCCCATGTCTTATTTCTGACTTTGCCTGCCCCCTGCCTGTGCCACAGGTCCAGAACGGTGAGGCCAAGCTATCTTATTGGTCAGTGCATCCATCTGGCCACCATCTGCCCATGACTCTCCCCTGTTAGACTCATGGGAGCTTACCAATCTGCTTTAAACAAACTTCACCCAGAGCATTTTAGCATTTTGGATCATCAGTGGCATCATTTTTATTTTTGTCTTTGCCCGTGACCTGCCCACACGGTCCACTGGAAGCTCTGGTACCACATCCAGTGCTCAGGATATCACCAAGCAAGCAGTAGATGCAGTCTTGGTTAATTTTCGGTGAGGGAGGAAGTCTTGGAACCCTTCTGTTATAAACAGCTGATTTGAGGAAGAGATTGGAAGGATTTGTCATCTTGGCAAGTGAAATCCACCTTCATACATGCATCAGGTATGAGTGCCGTGTGGTGAGGGTACGAAATTGATCAAGGTCCGGTCAAATCCTTTGGTTACAGAGCCCCCGGACTAGGAGGAAAGAGGAAGCTCTAAATCGACAGTGTGTGCGATCAGAAAGAGACAGGAACTCTTAATCCATTTGAAGTAGGTCAAAGTTTCTCAACTGGGATGGTGGGTGAAGCTGGATAAGAAGGTAATCCAGACAGAGGGAAGGCACAGAATAATGAAAGACTGTGGGGTATTTGCGGAACGTAAGACCAGACTAGGCATAGGACAGAGGAGAAAAGGAGGTTGAGCTGTTAGGTGGAACATATCATTGTCCTTCTACTGCTTACTCCATCTGAGAACCCAAGAGTTCGATCATCAGATCTAACCTTTCTTCTTCATCTGGTAGGAGCCCCCTCCTTTCCCGGGATTTATCCAGCCTCTCTCATCTCACCAAAATTTGCCTCCTGGGCTCCACTCCCGCAAGCCCTTGTACTTGAGCTGTGAACAAGTCTTTGGAGGGCCATGCATGGCGTCCTCCAGGCCCTCTGGCCATCCAGCAGGGGATATTAATGGAAGCCAGGAATTTGGGTACCACTCAGACATACCACAGGCAGCCACATCCACACCCTCCAGGTTTGCTGAGAACTTACCATCACCCCCTTACAATACAGTGTGTGCTCTCCTCCTCTGCAGGCAAAATTCTCTTCCGACGGAGCCATATCCGGGACGTGGCCGTCAAACGCCTCATACCGATTGATGAGTACTGTAAGGTAAGTCTAAGAAATGCTAACACTTCCCTGCATCTTATGTCTTCCCTTTGAGTTGTTTCTTTTCTTCTTTTCCCTTTCTGGCTACAGAAATAGTCATTGTGAGCAATTCGCAGCTAAAAGAAACGTAAAATCAGAAAATCAACCACCTATGAGTCCTCAGAGGCAAAAATTATTAAGGTTTCTACGTTTCCTTTCTAGTTTTCCTCTCTATGTGCATTTCTTCATGGTGTTGACACCACCCCATATGTGTTATTTTTGTGGCTCTTTCTTTTTAATATTGTGATATAAGAATTTCCCAATGGTATAAAAACATCTTCTTGAGCCTACTTTAAATGACTGCATAGTGTTCCGCTGAGTGTTAATATTCCAGAAGTTACTTAGTCCCTGTCATTGGACGGGGCAGCTGGCTTCCAATCCCTTGAATGTTCTAAACCACAAGGGGCCTGCCTTTTGCTTAGATCTCCTTTGATTTGTGGCTGTGGTTGGGAAAGAAGCATGCTTTTCCTTTGTTTAGGTTCCCTTATCTTAAGTATTTATTTCTTGAACTTAAAATCACTAACAGTTCTGATTGAGAAGAGTGGAAATAGCAAGAAATGCCTTAACAGTGGGGCAGCCAGTGCTCTCTCTCCCAGAGACTGGAAACAGAGCAAGTATATTTGTTCTTCTCACTTCTGTCTTACATTTTCCTGGAGGTTCTAGCCAGCGTAAGAAGGCAAAAAAGAAAATAAAAGGCATACAGTTTGGAAAGGAAGAAATAAAACTGCCTTGATTCACAGATGATATGATTCTGTTGTAGAAAATCATAAGGGATCCACAAGAAAAAAAAAAACTACTAGAACTAATAAACAAGTTTAGTAAGATCATAGGATACAAGATCAATATAAAAAAATCAATTGTGGAGGCACCTGGCTGGCTCCTTCGGTGGAATGTGAGACTCTTGATCTCAGGGTCGTGAGTTCAAGCCCCATACTGGGCATGGAACCTACTTGAATAAATAAATAGATAAATAAATAAAACTCTTTCCTTATAAAAAACAATCAGTTGAACCTCTAAAGACTAAGCATGAACAATCCAAAAATGAAATTAATCATTCTACTCACAACAACATTAAAAAGAGTAAAATACTTAGGAATGAATTTAAGAAGTACAAGGTTTATACATTGAAACTACAATACACGGTTGAAAGAAATTAAACCAGCTCTGAAGTAATGGAGAGACATTCCATACCCATGGACTAGAAGACTCAACAATGTTAAAATGGCAATTCTTACTACTCAGCCATCAACAAGAATGAAATCTTGCCATTTGCAATGACACGGATGGAACTGGAGGGTATTACGCTAAGTGAAACAAGTCAGTCAGAGAAAGACAAATACCATATGATTTCACTCATACGTGGAATTTAAGAAAACAAAACAAACCAGCAATGGAGGGGGAGACAGAAAGGCAAACCAAGAAATAGACTCTTAACTACAGAGAACAAACTGATGGTTACCAGAGGCAAAGAGATTGGGGGATGGGTGAAATAGTGATGGGGGTTAAGGAGCACACTTGCTGCGATGAGCACCGGGTAATGTATGGAAGTGCTGCATCACTGTATCATACCCTAAAATTAATATTACACTGAATGTTCACTAACTGGAACTTAAAGAAAAACTTTAAAAAATCTAGGAGAATAAATTAGAATTTGGGGGTCAGGATGAATTTCTTAATGAGAACAATGTGTGTGTGTGTGTGTATTATATATACTTGGAATTTGTAGAAATTGATATGAAAAAGATAACCATACAGGGAAAATGGGCAAAGGACAGGGTTGGAAATATAAAAAGAAAAAACAAAAACAAATAAAATAGCCCAATGAGGGCGCCTGGGTGGCTCAGTGGTTGAATCCTCTGCCTTCGGCTCAGGTCATGATCTCAGGGTCCTGGGATCGAGTCCCGCATCGGGCTCTCTGCTCAGCAGGGAGCCTGCCTCCTCCTCCTCTCTCTCTCGGCCTGCCTCTCTGCCTACTTGTGATCTGTCTGTCAAATAAATGAAAAAAAAAAAAATCTTAAAAAAAAAAGCCCAATGACAAACAATAACAAAAAAGATACAAAATAAAATAAAATGGCAGTTCTTCCCCAGTTGATCTCTATATAATCTCTGTCAAAATCCTAGTAAGCTTTTTTGTAGAAATTAACAAGCTGATCCTAAACTGTGTGGAGAAATGCAAGGAACCCAAAATATCCAAAACAATTATGAAAAAGAAGAATAAAATTAGAAGCTTGTAGTACCCATTTCAAAACTTCTACAAAAGCTACGATAATCAAGACAGTGTGGTACTGGCATAAGGGCAGGCACATAAATCAGTGGGACAGAAATGAGATCCTCGAAATAAACTTTTGTGAAACATGGTCAATTGATTTTCAGCAATAGTGCCAAGAAATTCAGTAAGAAAAGGATAATCTTTTTAACAGTGTGGGATAATAGAACATCCATACGCCAAAAGGAAAAAAATTAAGTTGGATCCCTACCTCATACCGTGCACAAAAATCAACTCAAAATGGATTACAGACCTAAACATAAGAGCTAAAATTATAAAACTTCTAGAAGAAAACATAGACGAAAATCTTCATGATCATGATTTAGGCAGAGAGTTCCTAGACAGGACACCAAAAGAGAAAAATTGATAAATTGGGCTTCATTAAACTTCCGAACTCTGTACTTCAAAAACATCGCGTGAAGAAAATGAAAAAATAGGTCACAGATTAGGAGAAAATATTTGTAAATCATATCTCTGACAAGGGACTTGTATTGAACCTATATAAAGAACTCTTAAAACTCAACCATAAAGATGACCCAGTTTTAAAACAGACAAAAGGGGTGCCTGGGTGGCTCAGTCGGTTAAGCGTCTGCCTTCAGCTCAGGTCATGATCCCAGGACCTGGGATCAAGCCCCACATCAGGCTCTCTGCTCAGCAGGAAGCCCGCTTTCCCCGCTTCCCCCACCCCCATTTCTGTTCCCTCTCTCGCTGTATCTTTCTCAGTCAAATAAATAAATAAAATCTTTAAAAATAAATAAATAAAAATAAAAATAGACAAAAAAGATTTGAGTAGAAATTTCACCCAAGAAGATGCATGATGGTTATTAAGGCTGTGAAAAGGTGTTCAGCTTCATTAATCATTAAGCAATGAGAAATCTGCAGAGCCATGGGAATGGCTATAATCCATCCACAAGACAGCAAAACCAAGAGCTGGTGAGGATATGGAGAACGTGGACACATGATAGGACATTCTGGTGGGGATACATGATCGGAAGCCACTTGGGAAAACTTCAGCACTTTCTTCCACAAGTGAAATTGACCATGTGGCCACTCTTAGGTATCCAGAGAATTGAAAACATGTCCACACAAAGACTTGGATGTATGTGTTTGTAGTAGTACCAGTTCATAATAGCCAAAAACTGGAAGCAATTCAGATGTCCATCATCAGGTACATAGATAAAGAAAATGTGGACTCTCCATACAATGAAATATTTTTCAACAATAAAATGCAGTGAAATCCTGAAAAATGCTGCAAGTTGGATGAATCTCAAACCCATGATGCTGAAAGAAGCCAGATACAAAAGACGACGTGTTGCGTGATTCTATCTACATGAAATGTGCAGAAAAGGCAACTTTATAGAGACGGAGAGCCGATCAGTGGTTTCCGAGGCCTGAGGACAGTGCAGGCAGAGATGGACCACACATTAGGTGGGGGAAATTTTTGAGGTGATGGAAAAGTTCTAAAACTAGATTGCAGTGATGGCTGCACAACTCTATAATTTACTAAATGTCATTGAATTGTATCCTTCTAATGGGTGGGTTTTATGATACATAAATTATACTTCAATACATCTTAAAAAAAATATAAAGGGGGGCATGCGGTATGGGGATAGATGACCCTTGTCTTGGCAGGAGACATCACATGGGCAGAAGAATCACTCCTGATCACTCCTGTCTTCTCCTTGCCAGACATGACCTCATTTCACCCCTCCAACAACCTTAAGAAATAGGTTTTATTATTCCCATTGTGTAGACGAGGAAACAGAGGCCCAACAAAGTTCTCTCTCTTTCCCTGTGCCCAAAATGAATAAATAAATGTTTTTTTTTTTAAATCCTGGAATAAAAAGAGATAGCAGCTCCCTGCATCTGGCTGGTGCTTGGAATGGTATAGAGATCATGAATTCACCTGGATTCTGGATTTGCCATAGGGAAGAAATGGCTTATGTCGTGTGAGCCATATGGAAGTTACCACTCCCTACTATTAATGCATCATAAGGAGCAGAACAGATATTTTGGGGTTTGGGTTGGCCAAATTCCCCAGCCTGGCTTCAAGGGAACTGCCTCCTGGAAGGAGATGAAACCGTCTATTCACAAAGTCTGCAAAATCTTTTACAGACTACACAGACTTACTTAACATTTGAGTATCTGTTAATAACATTGTTGTGAGCTGACTTAAGCCAATTTAATCTATAACTATTAGCTTTATTTTAGTAGAAATTGGTAATCTCCAATAGGTAAAGATAGACAAAGACTGTGGGTATCCCAAATCTAATTCCAACTAGGAAGAAACTTTCTGCTCTATTAGATCTGTTATAAAGTTACAGTAATTAACATAATATGGTGTTGGCACAAGGATAGGCAGACCATTAGAACAAAATAGAGAAGCCAGAAACAGACCTGTGTGTTTTGGGACACTTTAATATTGGCAAAAGCAGCCTGGCAGGTCATTGAGGAAAGGGTGGATTCCTCAGTAAGTGGGAATCCATATGGGAAAAAACAAAGCAAAACAAAACAAAACAAAAAAAGGTAACTAACCCCTGCCTCACACCACACATGTAATCATTTCCAAGGAAATTAAAGACTTAAATGTAAGATGCAATAGTATAAAAGGTTTTAGAAGATAAAAACGGGGTGGGGGGATACTTTATAATCTCTAGGTATAGAGAGATTTTTAAAGACACAAAGTACCAACCATAAA